TTGTTTACTTCAAATTTCCATTTAATTTTCTCTCTAATTTATACATTTAGGTAAATGCTGCTAAGTACTTCAAATTAATTCTTTATAATTACATATTCCTAGTAGCAGTAAGCACAAAATTCTCTTATAATTAAGCTTTAATAATAAAATTTCTTTTAAATGCTCCAAAAAAATTTCAACGAACTTTACAAATTCAAAAAACAATCCTATTTTGATAGTTTCACACCCCTCATTAAGTTCAAAAATTAAGAAGTCGTTAAAATGCAAATTAATTTTTATCACTCACGTTTAATGGGAGGATCAATCTAGTTTATGTATCAAATGATGACTACATATACGTATGCAATAATGAAATAAAGGGAATTTTCTAAACAGCAGAAATAAATTTAAGAATATTTTAATCCCATAGAAATGAAGATACAGCACAGAATAGATAGTACTTTGTGGTTTTAATCTTTCAACTTGAGGCATTTTTCAACTGGAAAATAAACTTGTATAAAAAGAGATGCTTAAGGATGTAAATTGTTGTGTAAATATGCAAATAACATGGTTTCCATCTCTATAACTCCATCATTCATTCCCATATAAATTCAATTCTCTCCATCTCACTTCCTCATAGGACTATTTTAATCCCAAATAATTTATATGTCGTCGGAAATTCTCATCATTCATCAATTCCATCTCTAATGCATCTCAATTATGTTAAGTGTTTCTCTTTCTCTATCCAAATATTTTTCTTACTATTCATTGTCATTTCTATTGGAATGTCTGTTTGTGTCTATGGCAGGAGTGTAGTCAGGATATATTAAATCCAGTTGCCATCTCCTTACTCCACTCCTATACTATTTCCATGAATGACAAATCTTTGAATGAAAAACATAAAGTTTTACATTTTAAAGCAGACACAGTATTAAAAATAACAATAATAATCTCTTGGGGATATAGGAATAAATAAAAATATTCATTTGATCGAACACGTTCGGTAATTAAGTGAAGCTAAAAACCCGTTGATAGTTTTCGACACCTACGCCAAAACTATTTTGAATAATGACTTTTTTATGCCTTTTCATTCATGCTTATTTTTTTGTTGTGTAAATCTTTAATGAAATGAAAACCAAATGTGTTTATTGTCATTGCCCGCCTATTTTGGATGTTGCCAATATGTACGCAATAAATACCGTTCGCAATATCCAATATGTATCGTGAGGTAATAAAAAGAATCGAAATCTTCTTGATTTTTCTGTGAAAGTTGAGCGCATTTATTGGATTTTTGTGAGGGGACAACATCATCATGATGGAAAAATATAAAAATGTGATGTTTTCTTCGAATCTTTTTAGGGAACGTTCACTTATTACGTCCAGGGGGGTAATTGTAGGTAAAATTGTAGCAAAATGTAACATAGGGGGGGGGGGGGTGTCAAGAAAAAAAAGTTCACAAAAATTTTTTTTTGCAAATTCACACCAAAAACATTTTTTTTAAATTTTCCACCTTTTTAATAATTTATGAAAAATTATCAAAATAAAATAAATTATGAACGTTCAGGGGGGGGGGGGGGGGGTTGTGATTTGTAACATATTGTAACAAGGGGGGGGGTGAAAAAAAGTCTTTTTTTTTGCGTAACGTAATAAGTGAACGGCCCCTTAAAAGTTTCGCTGAAAATTCTCCTCAAATTTTCTTTTCAATCATGTTGTTATCCCCTCGGCTTTTTCTTCCTAAAGTATTACTTGAGTGAGTGATGGGAAGTTCAATAACTCACAGATTGCGTTGTGTTCTCAAATTCCAGTTCATAGCTTTCGTAGATTCAAGTGAGAGAAGACTTAAGTTAAGAACAAATTCTGCTGAAACGGATTTACAAAATTTTAAGGAATTCAAATTATTCTTGCGGTCTTTGGGCAGGAATTCTACTAGAAGTCTATTCCAATGAAGTCTATATTTATTCAAATTTTTTGTTGCTAATCCTTCAAAAGCACCTACACACAGATGTTCTAGGGCAAGACCGTTTTTCGATTAAGTGTCAGATTTTGCTATTATTTCGTTTATATCTCTGTAACGAAAATACTTACAGTAAAACTAAACATACTGTTTTATAGAACTTTTTGATGCCTATCTTTTAATATGTAACTTTTTATTGGAAGTACTATACTTAAGGCTGTAGAGCCTGAAAATAGGCAAAATCTGACACTGAATTTTTGGGAAGGGTATTCGAAATTTTACTAAAACTAGTCTATCTCGCTTAGTTTTACACCGATTTCGATAGTTTTTTCAGCAATAGTTAGTTTAAAACTACAGTTATCATTAAAAAGTAATAAAAATAAAATGGCGACTTAATAAGTTAATTTAATTAATATTTTTAACCTTATTTTCCTATATTTTACTATCAATTTTTAACTTACTTAACTTTTTTCTTGACACAAATATAGTTTTAGACCTTGGCTTTATGATAGAAGTCAAAATTTTTTGAAAAAAGTAGTATAATTAACTTTTTTTGGTCATTTTGTAAAATTGCCTTTAAATGGCAATTGAATAGATATTCTTTTAATTTTATGATGTAAAATGATAATTATACATCAAATATGCTTAGTTTTAGCAAAATATATCACAATATAATGTTATAGAACAAGAAAAAAGCAAAAACTTTAAAAACTTTAAACAAAAATTTTCAACCGTTTTTGAAAATTTAAATTTTTGACTTGATTAAAGAGTTGTAAAATAAACTTTTGGTTAAATTAACTAAATTAGAAGGCTTTATTGCAGTAAATTCTTGCAGGAAAGTTGTAATTTATCATTAATTAATGCTTTTTGAGGGACAATAATGAAAATTTCATTAAATTTATATGTAAAATCAATTTTGGTTAATTTAACTAATTTTGTGTATTAATTTGAAAATGTGTGTATGATAAATGAAACAAAATAAGATTCTCAACAACTTTTATGAACATATCAGCTCCTTTTACAGCTTCCTTCTTGGATAAAAATCACTTTGAATGTTTGATTTAGAAATTAAACTAACTTATAAAGTCGCCATTTTAAAATTATTGGGTTAAAAATTCAGTTTTTATATTTGGCTATAAGCCACTGAAAGAATTGTGACGATTGAATAACTAAACTCTGAGTGAATCAACTTTCAATATTTGTTCACTTTTTTCGCGGTCTTGCCCTCTAAGAATACAAATCATTTTAAAGGAGTGTTTTGTATTTTCCCGAAAAGCAAAATAACGAATAACCGTTATTACGAATTACAAATTTACGAATGTTCATTTTTACGAAAATTTTTATGGTAAAAACTTATAGGATATAATTTAAATCTCAAAAAACCGTTGGTTAAATCAAACATTAAAAGACAATTTACATCAATTTCTTCATTTAAATGCGAATAGATATGATATAATAATTATTATAAGATGAAGGATTAATAGAACTACAAAAAGATTTGCACTTATTTAAATGTGTAATATTTTTTCTTGTTTTATGGGTAATTCCATGAGAAAATTTTATAGCAAAATAAAAATTTTATAGAAAAAATATTTCACATTTAAATAAATGCAAATCTTTTTTTCAGTTCTATTAATCCTTCATCTTTTAATAATTATTTTATCATATCTAATCGCATTTAAATGATTAAATTACTTTTAACTGTCTCAATATTTGATTTTATCCAACGGTTTTTTGAGATTCAAATTATATCCTATAAGTTTTTACCATAAAAATTTTCGTAAAAATGAACATTCGTAAATTTGAAAATTCGTAAAAATTGTTTTTCGTTATTTTGCTTTTCGGGAAAATACAAAACACTCATTTTAAAGGTCATTCATGATTTCGGACTTATCATTCATAGCTACATATTCAATAGATTTCTTTGAACAGAAATGGTAAAGTCAAGCTCTAATTAAGAGAATCAACAACAAATATCTCAAATTGATGAACTTACAACTCTAAATCCATTTCTACTTCTATGCCTACAACAAAAAACTTTCCCTCGATTAAGGATGATTTGTTGTACATTAATAAAATCGTTAAGGAAATTTGTCACCCAATTAAATTGCCTCCAACGCCACAGGAAGCGACCAAAGTTGATAAATATCTAACAAATCCACTCAAATTGCCTAATCAGCTGAGTCAGCTGAACTTTTTTTTTTTACTTCTCTTAATTGTGTCATAGTGAGAGCATCCAATTAAAATTTTCCAACAGATAATGAGGAACGACGGCAATAAAAAACTAAATTTAATGGAGCTAATTTGACGAAAATATGGACACAATAAAAACGACAACAGCTCATCTGAAACAGAAAGTTCTCGGTGTAGTAATTAATGGAATGATTTTACAAGCGATTTACATAGACTAAGTATCACCGGCGATGTCATCCAATCCATAATAGGTCAGTTTATATTAGTGTCTTTAATTCTTCTTTATTGGCATCTTTAAGAGGTAAGAAGGAAGGTATTTGAATAACAAAAAGTTCGGCTCATGCCTTTTTAGTTGGTCTTTTGGGAAAAGATGCTGCTGACTGCTTTTTGTCGTTCCGCTGGATCTTAATATAATAATTCTTGACACGTGTCAAAAACCGTTATTTTTTCAAAAAAAAGTTTCAAATTTTCAAAATCCGTTCCTTTTTAATATTTTTTGATCGTTATTTTTCAAATTCCATTTTACTTAAATCTGACAGAAACTGCGTTTCCATGTATAACTTATGACCTTTATCTCAAAAAGTCTACATTGTCTCTGCTTCTTTTTTTTCCGTGAATGAATATGAATAACGTACGCCTACATTAAGCGATTATATACAACCAAACGAGTCATCAAGGTGTCATAAATCAACTCGATAGAGTCAGCGGCAACAATTGAAGCTTTCACTGGCTTCTCATCGATTGTTTCTCGTGTCATTTCGCACAATTTCAGGTATGGAGCAATTTACGATCGACAGTTTTATTGATTTCCTAAAAAGTATGAAGAATGGATTTTGAATTTTGGTCCTGCAAGAGAAGGAAGTCGAAAAAGACCTTTTTTTGAGTCATTTTTATCTTTATTCTTTAATTATTGTTTGTTGCTGTTTTTTATATTTTTTTTTTCTTTCGTTTTTCAATATTTACAGCGAAAAAGATTTTTTTTGTAATACAAAGTTTGAATGTGTTTAATTATACTATTTACAGTTCTTTGTTTTTTTTTTGAGTGTCCAATGAGCCTTTGCGGAGGAGACTAAAGCTCATCAACATTACTGGGATGTCTCATAATCTTCTGTACGCTTATACAAGGAAATTTTTTAATAATAATCGCTTATCAAGGGTGAAATCTTAATAAAATTCTCTTAACATCTTCAGATTTTTCATTTATTTTACTTCCTTATACTTTATTATCAATGGGATTTTTTTAAATCTCGACTTTTTAAAAAAATTAAGATCAATGGGACTTTATTTATCATTTTTTTCTTCAATTTTACACTTTTTTTTCTTGTAAATACCTTTTAATAGTTAAATTTAATAGCATTTTTCTTCTTCTTTCGTTAATTAATTAAACATTTCTCTTAAAATTCCCTTCAATATACTTTTTTTAAATCTTTCTTTAAGGTATTATCATTTTCTAACTCAGTGCAAAGATTCTTTATACATTTATAATAATTAAAATTTTAATTATTCACAGTACTATAAAGAATCTTTTAACCATTTTTTTAAAGTTCAGCTGTTGAAGCAAATTGACTTCGATTTTAAAATCTTGAAAACCGTACAAATTATGCACTTTGATAATTTCAAACTGTTGTAAGGTTTTATGATTAATTGAAACTTTTTGAACCATTTTAAAAACATTTGAATGGTTCTGATTAGACCTTAAACATTTGTAAGGTTTTGAATCATTTCTAGAAACTTTTGTATGGTTCAAATCCCATTTTTTTGAATTTTAAAAACTTAACTGATGATTTAGATTTGAATAATTTTGTGAGAACCTTACAATTCCTTAACTTTTAAAAAATGTTTTGAGAAATTCGTTAATTAGCCTAGAACTTGATAAAGTACGGCTCGATTTCAATCCACTTCAGGACGGCGAACTTTGTCATTAATATTTAAATCTTTAGTATCCTTTTCCTTAACTAAAAACAATGTATATATTGAGAAATTAGAAACTGAACAATGATAAATTGTAGAAAAACAATTAATTAAGGAAATTCGCGCTTAAATCGCTTAATATATACTTTCTTATATATCCATCATAATTAATGAGATGCACGTAAAAAAATTTGAGTATTTGTTGACATCTTTTTGTGTCTGTCTGTTTCAACTTTGTGTCTATGTAATTTCTTCATGTACGGATTTTTTTTTTGTTTTGTTAATTAAACTTAAAGCTAATGTTTCTAGAACTTAATATAATGTGTAGTGTCGATCTATGTATATGTTCTGTCAATAATAATTAAAGAAAGTAATTCTTTGTAAAAAAGATAACTTATTGTAACTAGATTTTGTGTGTAATTAATGTCTGTGATGATTTTTTTTGATGATGTTTTTTTAAAAAAATGCTGGACTTTACACTAAATGTCCATCCACACTGCCATCGGGGAAGCCCATTTGATGATTGAAATTTGATAAATTCAAATTCACATTGGCGTTGTTCGTTGCATCGTAATTATTCATTAGTTGAGCGGCGCTGAGCTGATGTGCATTCGATAAAGTGCCATCGGACATAACAAGAGATGGCATTGGCATGAGTATCGATTGCATCGTGAGATCTTTATTTACATTGTTTAATTGGTTTTGTTGTTGATGGAGTCGCTTTGGATCTTTAAGGATGCCTACTACTGGCACATTGTTTGGCTTACTACTATATAACGTACCAGTTCCACTGCTAACCATTAGTGGCATCATTTTTGTTGTATGCGTCACATCCGGCGGTGGAATTATATTATGATTCATTGCAATTAAATTACTATTGCGTCTATTCAGTGTATTACTACGTGACGAATTCGTGTGATGGTTCATGTCTAAATTTGTTGACATGTTATGAGGCAGCGTTGCTGATGCAACTGAATAATCCTGCAAATAAAAATATATATCGAATGAAGTGATGTGTGTATGTGAGTTTTGTGAGAGGATGTAGAAAAAAAAAATTCAATTAAATTTTCTATTATTAAATATCGGAGACGGGTTCGTTCACAAGTTACGTTCAATATATTTTTGAATTTTGAAAAATACCGTTGTTATTTGAAAAATGACAGTTAAGAAATATCAAACGTGCTTGCAAACGATCTCATAGATATCCACAGAAATTCATTAATACGTACCATAGGAGGATAGGAAAGATAACGATCACATGCGCTATAATATGAACCATCCAACGGCGGTCCAGGTGAATAATTCTTTGACGGATAAGTTTTATGATTTATTAATTGATCATCGAAATTCGATGACGGTAAGAAGCTCATTTGTGATGCATTCGGCATATTCTTTGGATGGATCATCATTTGGTTTGGATTTGATTGATAATACGGCGAGAGACGACCGTCTTTTTGATAACGTGGTGGCGGGATGTCATTCGAATCTTCTACAACGTATGTTGACGATGTTGTTTGTTTACGATTCACTTCCTCCTGAGCATACACAGTTGTCGCATAGTGGAAATAAAAATAATGAAAGAATGAAAATTGGTTGAAATAACAATTAAATCATTTTGAAATTGAGCAATTCTAGGCAAGAGAAAAAGAACGAAATAAAAAACATGGAAAATGCATTTTTTACTATCTCAATGCCCTACATAAATGCACACACAGACAGAGCCATGCTATGTTGAATGAATTGAATAAAAGCCACAGAAATATTGGCTCAAAAATTATAATATGCATGGGTCGATGGTCAGTTTTTCACTTCATGATGCATTCTGTGAGGACATAAAGTATGAAGCTTGAATGAAATTCATGTGGCATTCAAATTCAGTATAAAAAGCTATTCCTTTGATCAATTTTTTCTCTGCATTTTTACTCATAAATATTATGAAATAGTTCAGTGGGTCCATTAAGTTTGATGAGGATTTATGTTCCTTTGATCGTTGGATTTAAGTTTAATCGTTGGATTTAAAATTTTATCCTAAGATTTAATTAAATCCAACCTAATTCTATGGTCAATGAAAGTAATCCGCAAACCTTTTCAAACACCTAGACGACAAACTAGTGTGTCAAAAAAAGTAAATTGACAGACTAGCACTGCTCTTTAGACAGACAAATCATGAAAATTATCAAATCCATAAAAGTAATAAGTCAAAGGATTATAACGAATAATCCTGTCGAGAAAAATATAAACTCATTCCAGGAAGAACTTTCAAGCTTATATTTCAAACCAATTGCAACTCTTGGAAATGTAATATTGGATAAAGTTCAAGTGGATGAATTAAAAAGTTGAAAATTCTAGTTAAATCAGATATAGAATAGCAATAAAATAGTCAAAGGGAAAAACGATAATAATTTAAAGCAATTTTCCATCAGTTGAACATGCTAGACACAGGAACGGGAGGAGAAATGAATTTTTTTAACAATGTGAAAATTTATTTACCGTCAAATCTGGCTGACTGCCATCATTAGAATATGAATCACTTTTATCCGAAACGGACGATAATGTTTCACCAGTTACGGTATCGTTGTAGCTGCTTGGTGCATACATCTCAATGGCTGCTGATTTGCTGTTTGCTGCGTTCGTGGGCTCTATCGAGTGGAAAGAGAATGAGAATATAAGTCTTAAGGAACACAAAAATCAATTAAGGCATCATCATGTATTTTCTTCTTCTAGTAGACATGAACATCTACAACAATATTATATTCTTGCTTGTTTTTTTGGATGGTAACAAAGGCGCCATGCCAGAAAGTCCAACCCTCAACAATCTTCTTGTCGATTTTTTTTTTCTTCATCCCTTCCAAAAATAACAGTTTTTATATCCTCTTATGTGAACAATATTGTTCGGTAGAAATCTACAGATATCCTATGCTGCTTGCTCAAACGTCCAGAGAATATTGTCATCAAAAATTAATTACAATTAAAATCACTGACTGCAAAAATGGTCATTTGGGAAAGATCTGAAGTAGTTTTAGCACATTTTTTAAGAATAATTGTCTTTGTTGCTTAATTGTTTGGCTGGCAGAATTATTTAAAATGTGATTTTTATTTTCTGAGATTCAAATGTTTTTACCCAGTTCAAATATTTTTTGACATTTATATTTTTTGAATTTAATTTAACAGTTATATATATTTCAAAATGAATAACAAAGAAAAATGCGCTTCGTTTAGTCAAAAAAAAAAACAAACAATTCTCTCCAGCATGAGAGAAATAAAATAAAAACGAGAAAATTAAATTAAACATAACGAACAATTGTCTGGCGAGTGATAAAAAGGACGGAGGACACTAACTGCTGTTTTTATATTTTTACCTTTAATTCGTTTTCGAATGATAAACCAGGCAACAAGTGCTGTATTAGCAATTAACAGTCCAAGTCCGATCAATGCAATACCAACGACAAGAAGTTTTGGAAGTGCATCTTCGTCCTTTAAATGTGTTTGAATCGGTTCGTAGCCTTTAAAAAGAATGTAGATAATAATAATAAATAATTAAAAATCATAAAAACATATAAAACCATAAACCAGGAATGTCTATTGACAACACAAAAAGTGTAATGGAAAGAATACCGCGATATTAGTAAAAAGAAATTGAAATTTTTCATGCTGGTTAAAACCACAAGACATCGATTTCACTTATAATCCTTTATCATACCATCCAAAAAGAAATATGTAAAATATATACAGAAATATAATATTGTCGTCGTCGATGAATCAGCCCACGTGTCTTCTTATTTAATTGGGCATAAAATCGTTAATTTTACCTCCTTTTAGATTCTTCTTGTGACGCTTATGCAGACAGCATGCAATCAGTAGTATATTGATAAGAACTAATCCTGTACCAGCTGAAATACCAATTAGCATCAAAAGTCCTCTCGATGTATTCATAAATGGACTTCCAGTTCCTGTCTCTGTTTGCTGAGTCGTCAATACCGACAATGACAGTTGCGGTGCGACTGCGTTTTTTTTTCAATGTTTGTGGTTTTAATGATATTAAGGCACAATAATGAATTTTAATGAATTTTACATGTTTGAGGGCGAGAAAAATCACTTTTTGTGTGCAAAAATAATTTGTGTTTGTAGACCAATGAGACCGTAAATAATTTACACAAAAAAAAAACAAATCTCCGATGCTCAATCAATAAAAATAAAGAGGAATTGGAAGTAGATGAAATGTAGATCCATTACAAGTTATGAATAGAATTAATGATATTTATTTTCTCCGCTTAATTCGCGTAAAATATTTCATTTTTCATCGATTTTAATGAGCTGAGAGAAAATAAATTATTTTCACAACTTTTCATCATCAATCGCACCTTTTCTAAATCATGACCATAAAAAGAGCATCGAAAATTAAGCTTTGAGGTCATTCAGTGACTCTAGCGCTTCAGACTCTCTGAACATTCAATTCTATAACTTTACAGAGTCTCATTAATCTCAAACACAAAAGTGCGACATAAAATAATCATAGAAATTAAACTAAAGTTCCATACCTTTCGTCTGTGCTTTTGTCGTATCCGGCAACCATCCACTATTGCCCAAATTGTTCATTGCCATGATTGAGAACAAATATACAATATTCGGTTTGAGGCCTTCAATATCCAATCTGTAAACATTGGGTAGACTGTCTACATATCTATAAGCGGATGAGCTTGCTTCTCGATAACGCAATTGATATGTGGTTTTTAAACCACCATCAAATCCAGGCGTCCAAGCCAATGAAACAGAATCGTGCGTTGTGTTTAACACATTTAAGCTAAGTGGTGGATCAGGTTTGGATGTGACATCTAAGCGGATATTTTCACGACTCGAACCAAGTTCATTGTCTGCTCTGCATTCATACAATCCATAATCGTTTGTTTCTACCTTATCGACCAATAGAACTGATTCGTATGTTAATGGATCAATTTGTCGACTTTCAATGAAATATTTTCCACCATTTTGTGTATTATTTAATGTCTTTTGTGAACGTGACCATGTAAATGATGGTTTTGGTGCTGCTTGAACTCTACAAACCAGACGTCCCTTCTCATTCTTTTCGCTGGCTGCACGAAGCATCGTTGGTGATTTATCAATCTCAGGAAGAACTAGATGTAGACATAAACAATAATAAAAAATGATGAGAAAAGTCGCTTTCAGTAGCACATAGCATAGAGAAGAGGCACAGAAGCAAAGAAGAAAATTAAATTATGAATAAAATTGATCATGATAATCTCCTCTCAATTTCTTCTCTATGATAAAGTGGTGCTATAAACGATAAAAATGTCAATATCATCATCAACATACATTTTACAATCAATAGAGCATCACGGCTAACAGGATTGGCCACACGATTATCAGCAATGCATCGGAAATGTCCGATATCGTCACGTTGTGCATTCGAAATATGCAAAAAGCTTGTTCCATTCTCATATCTTACTTTCGTCTTTGCACTCATCTCATAATCCACTCGTTCCCAACGAATGTGATTCTCGTTTAATGGATTTCCTAAATTGAATTAAATAGAAATCAATTAATTTATTTACATGGGCGTCGACATTAATTGATTGTTCATAAATGACTCTGAATTTTTAACGTCTTTTAGAAATTTGAATTTAAACGGTTTTCTAAAATTTAAATTGAAACGGTTTTCAAAAATTTAAATTTTTATCGGCTTTTGAAAATTCAAAAAAAAAACGTTTGACATGAAAATCCCAAAAACTTTGTCAAAGACCAATATCTATTAATATACATATGCTCGCTCATTCAATTAGATTACATTTATGTTTCAATACTTTGTTCATTCGAGCTGCGGCGTATGTTTTTCATCAGTCATTACGATTATTAGAAACAAAAATTAATTAATTAAAGTAATGTACCTTTTACAGAACATGCCAATTTCGCCTCATCGCCAGGATTCACAACAACATTATCAGAAATGGATTCAATTGTTGCACCATCTGTTTTGTCGGGTATTTTTTTCCATCATCATCATGTACATGTACGAAGAAAAGGAAGAGAATAGAAAGAATAGGAAATAGAATTAGCAATAGTCCTGAATATTCCTTCATTTAAATGAATATGTCCCACAGATATGATGTAGCATGTACGCACATACACACAGGACACATGTATGAGAGTAAATGAGCATCTTACATTCAACAACAACAGAAATGTTGATCACGGCAGAGCCTTGGGAATTTAAAGCCTCGCACGTATACAATCCACTGTCATCACGTGCCAATTTAGTGAAATTCAATGTAGGCCCATCGATGACGATTCGTTGGTTGTCTATAGAATATTAATGAGAAGACATACATGAGAAAATAGAGAAAAAGAAGACAAATCGAAATTGATGGAAAATAATGCGTCGCATGCATGTTCTTTCCTTCAATTCAGCCTGATTATATATGTAGATGAAAAACATACCATGATCCTCAAGCGGAGAGCCTTCCTTTGTCCACGTATATTGAATATTTGTTGGATTTCCATTGGCCATAAGATTAATTATCAAAGATTCATCCTCAATTCCAACAGCAGTTGTGGATGGTAGTGGAGTAAATTTTGGTGGAACTGTTTAGTTAAATGAAAAGGAAATAAGAGAATGACTTAATAATAATAAACACATTATTATCTTAATAAAGTACTTACACAAAACTTGTAATTCAATGGCTTCATTAATACTCCGCATAAGAGCTTCGTTTGTTCCTTGACAAGCAATTTTCACACCATTCATATCTTGTGTTATATTCAACTTTACTTGAGTTGATGAAATTTTTCCGCCCCACAAACCATTCTGATGTGATACACTTCCATCGCTCATTAAAGGAATGCCATCTTTGTACCAACTTTAAGAGCAAGATGATTATGATATAACGTCACGAGAGTTGGTGAGTGAAATGGAAAGAAAGAAGAAAATTAGAAATTTATTCATTTCGTGAAAATGCCAGCAAACTTTATCGTTTCCATTTCTTGTTAAGGAAAACAGTCTTGTTTTATGAATTCAAATATTGTCCGTTAAATACTCACTTTAATCGAACTGGTGGATTTGATGAGCTCGAGTCACAATAAAGTGTTGCTTCCGTGCCACTTGTCAACGCTGCTGGTTCCACACGAATTTTGAGAGTCTCTGGCAAAACTGTAAAGAAGAATGGAAAATTATAAATAATAGAAATGAATGAGGACGATGAGAAATTCGGTGAAAAATCATTATAATGACGTCGACTGCCATCACACAGCATAGAAAAAGAAAGAAACAATCACCGAAAACAAAAAAGTATAGAAAACTAACACAAAAAAGGGAATGAAAAAGTTTTCTTTCATTTCCAAAAAAAAAAGTTGTCGATTGAACCAAATAACCAGGCAAAAAAAACGAGAACTCAAACATCTGCTACCATTTTCAGTTGCACTAGAGTACTGGAAGCAGATTTAATCAAATATTAAAAATCTCTTTCGCTTCTTTTGTTTTCCTACGTACTCCTCCAGATATAGCAGAGCATAAATAACGTAACTTGTGCTTGACAAATAGCGCACTTATTAATATCCAAAAATTTGTTTGAAAATTACCAGTAATTAAACATTTGAAAAATAACGGTAAGAAAAAAGGTAAAAAGCTTACGGATATTTTTGGACATTACAGACAAATTGTGGATAGAAACATTACTAATCTGCACATAGTGTTTCTAAAAAAGTAAAAAAATATTTTTTCTTTCGCTCAACTTCCGAAACAACAAAATTATGAACAGAAAAAAAGTAGAGACGAAATCTACATTATTGGGCAATTGAAATGATGGAAATAAGAGCAAAGATAAAGCCGAAAAGAAGCATTGTTAGAATAATTATTACTTACAATGAACGCTAAGTGTCTTTTTATCGAATAGCGGCACATCCGTTGCACTATTTTGAGCTTCACATCGATAAATTGCTTGATTGTCGGTAATGTTGGCAATAATATTCAATTCAGATTGCACAGCGTTCGAATTGATATTTTTCGTCTGAGAATTAATCTGTATGCGTATGTGGGAAATGAGAAGGAAGAAATGAATATAAATTTAATTATTTTGCTAATTAAGATTAAAGTCGTACCTTTTTGTCATTCTTAAACCACGTTAACGTAGGTGTTGGATTTCCACCGGAAGACATACATAGAAGCTTTTGTGTAGAACCTGCTGGAATTACAGATCCCTCTGTATAACCTGAAATTATTGGCGTTGATGGCGGATCTATATAATGTGAAGAAGATTATAATGAGATCAAGTATGTTTACATTGCAATAAATGAGAGCACTTACATAGAACATGAAGTGTATGTGTTGTCATTACATTATCTGCAAGTTGCATATTGATTCCTTGACATAATAATGAAATTGAACGTTTATTGGATTCAATCGTTATCGACATATTTGATGAGGTAGTCCATCCACCTTCGTTGCTTGTCTCAGTCTTTGACGAATTTGATTTCCTTTGTCGACCATCAATTGTCCATCGAATTTCAGCTGGTGGATGTGATGGCGCTGTAAGACATTGGAAATTTACAACATCGCCGTGACGAGCCTCTGTTGGACCAGATATTGTGACTTGTGATGGTGAAACTATTGAGAAATAAAAGAGACAAATGAGATTCAAAAGTTTTCTAGTTTTTGCTTTCTTTAAAGTTTTCGAACAAAACTTTTTCCACAGCTGAATGATAAAACAGCCATGAAAGGGTGATTGAAAAATTAAAGATGTTGATCTAGCAGTTTTTTCTTTAGTTCGCTTCGCTTAAGTTTTCTTTTTATCTTAATTGATAAATGAGGAAAATTCTATTTTCATACAAGCTTTTTTTTCTTCCCATAATTCTAAATCAACTTCACAAGAGAAGAAAATAAGACGAGGAAGATGACAAAAAGAACTGGTAAGGAAAAACTGCATTGTCATAGCTCTAAAAAGCATTATTGGAAGTAGAAATATTTGAATATAAAATAACCGTCAAAAAACATTTGAAAAAATAACGGTGAATAAAAATTTGAGCTTGTCAGGACAGACAGACAAATAAGAAATAACTCCGTTTGTTGAAAAACTATGCTAGCAAGAAGATATAAGATTGAGGACACAATTTTGTTGTTATGCTCAGTTATACTCACAGAGAACTGTTAAATCAATCTCTTTCTTCAGTGGCCTATCTGAGATTGTATTGCTTGCTTCACATCGCAAACGCGCCTTATTGTCGCCTGGTTGTACTTTGAAGCGATAAGTGCTAGCTGAATCTCGTCCCGATGTCGTATAAATGCTCACAACTTGACGATTATTTTTGTACCATATTAATTGTGCTGGAGGATTTCCACTATACGATCTACACACTAATTCCATCTCCTGACCATTCCTAAGCTTCTCACCTTTGCTGTAACCTTCAATGAAAGGCTCGCCAGGAGCTTTTAATACTGATACTTGTACTATTGATTGTAGTGGATGATCTGGTGATATCGCTAAATGCTTAGCGCGACATTTATAATCAACAAGATCATCGTTGGCAGATGCTTTAATCGTCAAATTCGATGAGACTGTAAATCGTTTATTGTCCAATTCTATGACATCGTCGTGACGATTGTCTGTTGATTTTAACTCAACATTCCCTCTGTACCACTTTATTTCAGCTGCCGGTTTGCTATCCGCAATTATACACGACAGCATTAAGTCTTGATTTTCTTTTACATCTACTTTATTATTTTGTTTTATGATGGGCACGCCATGTGATGATGCTTCTATTTCGATGGACGATGGAGGTGCTATAATTAAACATAACGTATTAATTGTTGTTATCTCACAGATAGATGTCGAGCTTTAGTAGCACATAAGCACATTTCATACATAAACAGATACAGACACAAGCGAGAATCCATTGATAATAATAATCATGGTAATTATCAAATTTATTTGCCGTGAAGGGACTAATTATACGAACGCTTTCATACGACTCCATTGACAATTTAATTTAAAGTTTTATTCTCATTCATAATAATTTTTTTCTGTTCTACATCCAGCCAGCAACCATTATTCCTTATTCACGTATATATCTTTGTATGCATAACAATTTTCATGTTAAAATGTGTTTATAATTGTGTGTATCAATGCGATTGTGGTTTAAAAAAGGGATTCACAGCACTTTTATTACACTTTATGTTTCCCAAATTGACAGTTTCCTCGTAGCTAGCTTGCTTGCTCGCTATTATCCATTAATATTCTTTTTTGATTACATTTGTATGAGTGTGCTTTTCCATCTTTATTTTTATTATTTCTCATAATAATTTTATAAGAAATCATGCAAGCAGAAAACAGAAGCTTGAACTTGAAAGTGGTGTCTGCTTTAAAAGCAGTACTAAGGCGCATGAGTCTTCTGAATTTAAAAATTAACAGTCAAAAATATTTTGAAATTAAGCGTTCAAAAAAAACTGTCAAAAAGCTGGACAGACCGACAAAACGCAGTCATTAGCATTTTTGAAAATTCAAAAAAATAAAAGTTCAAAAGTGCAATGCGATGATGAAATCTAATGTAAGAGAAATTTCGTTTCAATATTAATGAGATGATACATATCCACCATATTCTTTCTTGAGAAGCTCTGCTTCTGTTCTCTGTGTTTTTTTTTTTGAGATCTTTATGCATAAAATATTCTCAATTCACAACACGAAATGAACAACAACATTATGTTTTGAGTCACACTGAAAATCTTATTTAAGAGATTTTCTCAATAAACAAAAGCAAAAAAATAAATGTTTTCCTCGAATTTGTTGTGAAAATTTTTCCAGTTTCTGTTTTAAAATTTTGTACTTTACACCGACATTTCACATACATCATCGCACAAAAAAATCCTCCAAAGAGCATTAAATCTCGCAGACGCTCATGTTCAGGTAACAGATAATAATTTATCTTATGCAGAAACAAAATATATATTTTTGATGAAAAAATTACTTTGGAAATGATAAGCTTTTGTTTTGTTGTAATCTTTAATCTTGGATTGTTGTAGATTTGCTACAAAATAATTAAATGTGATGGAATGTTGAATTTTTCTGAGCATTTAAATGCTTTTGTAATATTTTAAAGCTCCAAGCATTCAGGAAAGCAATTTAATAACTAATTCCTATTTTCTGAAACATTCCCTAGAAAAACTTGACTCCAAACAACCCAGAAAGTTATTCACAGCAAGTTTACTTCAATCTTTAATTGCTATGTTTTAATCTGTAAATGAAAAGCTCTTCCACACAACCAAAATCATTTCCAGTATTTAACATTGTCTGAGCTTTATATTCCACCATAATCTGCTACGTACGGTTGGTTCTTCCAACTCGAAGCTTTCGGAAATCAATTTTGATATTAGTAACAGAATTAAAGCTCATGTCTTGCATTAAAATTGTTTATCCTAATGACAAGAATGGTCGGATTCCTTTATAAATGATGTGTAGGATGTGATGCTCCAGATTAAAAAGTTTTGTGGGATTTTAAAAATATCAAGTTTTGATTTGACGACCTTTCAGCTCAGCAAATCCAAAAACATTCAATTTAGCATTAAAAAGCTCGAAACCTACAGAATTTCTCCTGAACAACTCGAAGCAAAAATAGACACGAGCATAAACAAATTAAAGATTTTTGTTATTGACATCCTGGAATGAGATTTTCCTATAAGTATAAGCATTCGATTCCCTCAAACCTCTCCATTTCTCTCATTATGTTTCCATCACAGTTTTATAAAATGTTCAAGTATTATTTACATATTATCTATAAACACACAGAGTGAGCATTATTATGCTGGAAATTACATCGTCGAAATCAATATCGAAGGAGATGATGAAAAGGGGAAAAAAATTCTTTGTTCAGTAAAAGATTTACATAAAATGAATAAATTAAGTAAATTGCGTTAATGTCGTTTAATGCATTCGATTCTTGAAGTCTGTGTAGGATTGAATGTATTCCTTCAATTTCCAATTGCTTTCAGCACATACGAAATGTTTATAATTGTTACCAATTTTATAGTGGTATATGTGTATTATTATTGTAGCTATGAACTCAAACAACACCAAAGATTCAAGTAATAAAGTCTTCATTAGCATCGAACAAAGGCGCATTTTTTAGAATTTAATGGTGAATCACGATTCATAAACAAAATAAATTTTGAAAGAAAGTTAAGTTATTTGTACCTTATACAGTTCCACATTATAATATTGAATAAGTAGTAATTAAAATCGCTCCACCTCTACTAAGTAGCTGGAAACTTAGGCATAAAACCTAAAACACCTTTTTCCCAATCAAATATCAGAAAAAAATGCTAAAAAATCATAAGATTTTTTCTTCCTCTTATTTTAAGCGAAAATACTCCGTTGCTAATGTTGTTTCTTAAACAGTAAAAGCAGGCAGCACATAATACAATCGAGCAGGAGAGAAAAAATGTATCCGATTTCATGATGAGAGAAAGAGCGAAAGATTTTCTTTTTGTGTTGTTTCTGGTGGAAAACTTTTTGCATGGGAAATGGAGATGGAGGTAAACTCCTTAAAGATATTTTCTTCTGCCCTTTCCACCCTCTGCATATCTCTCGCAAGGAGCATGACAAGTATGGAAAAATGAAACTTCACTGAAAATGATTTTTTTTTTTGGAAGTGAAAAGCATGAAAATAAAAATAAGTTGTGTATGTATACAGAATTGTGATATTGAGCACTAAGCTTACATCACAACCAAATCGCGGGCATGAAAATATTATTATTGAATGACGTCACAAGTCTGATTTCTTTAAGGTTACTCCTTTTCTGCAAAACCACTATGAATCTGTCAAGTTTCATTATGATTAATTCTTTACGGGATCTCAAACGATTGTAATTAAAACTTGGTGACATTATTTATGAATTGTCAAATTTAAGATTCTTCCTTTAAGAAAATCATGCGAAAAAGGAAATTCAGTATGCATATTATACGGAATATAAAATCATGTGCTCATATGGGTATGGATCAGCGATTCTTGCATATAAGATATTCATATTCACTTTTTTACTTTCTATTTAAGAAGCTAGGGATGTATCCAGTGAGATTCTAAAGCTATGTTGCCAATCCTGAATACACCTCATACTTTATGAAAATTGCGAAGGGTGAATGCGAATTTCTTTACTTTAATCATTTTTCTTTCATGTGTGCGCGAGATTCTTTTTCATCAATGTTTTCTTAACGGTTTAGAAATTTTTTTTGTTTCTTTCTTTTTTCAATTATCTTTGCAGGTCCTATTTTCCTTTTTGACGATGAAACATAAAGTCTTCTTGCTTTACTAAATGGAATTTGATATCAATTTATTAGGTACGAGAGATGAAAGTTAAAAAGTGAAGTAGAATTAAGTGGAAAAAATAAAGCTTCTTCATTATTCATAGCTATTTTTCAAAAATAAATCAATTTCTTCTTATTATTGACTTGACATAATGACCATCAGGGTGTTTATTATCAGTTTATGGATAAAATTCTACATTTCTGGTTATAAAATATTGAGGAAAGAAGCTAGAGCATTGAACCTATCATTTTAAATTGTTAAACAATAAATTTTAAATCTCAATACTTATCAAGCAACGGATTTATTATTTCTGGATAAATAAGTTCAGTTTCCGTCAGAAGCAAATCTCTAAAATGCTCAAAACACTCAATTTTTGCCAAGCCCCAAAAAAAACCCTCAATCAAAAATTTCTATTTCAAAAACAATATTCATAAATTTGAAATATCAGCCAAAAAAATACATATCGATAGTGCACTTGTAATAAAATTTATGGTTGATTGAAATCAACCCTTAATCAAGTATCATTCCACACGCTGTGAATTTCCACGAGTAACTCTCGATGTTTAAATTTCGATGGGAAAAATGTAGAATTCAACAGCTGTAATTGAGATTGGATATAATTTTAAAGTGAATTATCAATTGGAATCGTTATTTTCAATTAAAAAGTCAAATTAAATCAACCAAAAATTTACTTCCACAGCACTTCAAATTATTTTTAACTTTTCTTAAAGTTTATTTAACTATAATTTACTCTGCAATCCTTAAAATGCGATAAAACTAGTGAATTAATACTTGTAGAACACGAAGCTATAAATTTCAAAAAAACGCGAGAACTTCAAGCAGCAAAGCAATATATTATCTGCAAAATTGCATAGAACAAACGTTTCAAAGGTTTAGAATCTTAAGTTGCGGTATCTCTACTTTGCTAATAGAATGAATGCTCAATTTGGTTTAGTCTTGCTTATTAGAGGATCCTGATCTTTAAAGTTAATCAGATGTTCATTTTTGAGCTACATTATGCATTGAATGGACAGTTTCTAGCGATGAAAGGCAATTCTGTGTCTGCGAAACTACCAATAGATTCAAACTACGTCAAAAAACTAAACTGCGTCCAAATCACATCATCATCATCCATAAACTATATCTTTTTAAGCCATCTTTCATACAAATATTTCTACTGTTATGGATAATAACAATGAAGATTGAATAAAGGTGGTGTCTATTTTCAAGTTTTTCTGTATCATCTTTATAAATACCGAAGAAAAAAAATCTCTTCCTCTCGTTCTACTCATCCATCAAATTTGCTTTCTCGCACCATTACATAAATATAAAATAGACATAGAACTTGATAACAATAGATATCAATTGTCAACTTTGAAGAACATTAAAAAGTGAGTATATATACAATTTGTTTGGATTGGAGTTTGAGGGATGACATTGTATACTCAATATTATTATTATTATTTAAATTAAGAAGAAGTTGGTGGGTGGAATGAAAATACAGAAAATTAAAGTAATAATTTATATCTCTTTAATTTCGATTCTCATTTTCCACTTCTCCACACTCTCTCACTGTCTATTGGATATCAAATACAATTCAACCGAAAAAATCATTTGCAAACAATCCGAAAAAGTTGAGAGGAAGGTTTTCCATCAGTGTCATCATTCACACAATGTAATTTTGTCCTCTTGTTATGTGTTTAAGGTGACCAATTTTATGTAAACATTTATACTGTACTGTTTATATATTATGTGCAGCATATGTGCTACTAAGTAAATAATCCTTAAAGCACTTTAATTTCATGTTATACTCACAAATGACTGTTAAATTTGCGAATGCTCGAATTGGATCAGAATTCTTCGCAGGTCCAACTTGACACTGATATACAGCATCATCATCAATTGAAGCATTTACAATGCGAAGATTAAAAACGCCTCGATTACGATCACCGATCATTGAATATCTTGAATGACCCGGGATTTTCTCTGCAAATCCTGTAAGACATAGACAAAATATAATAATTAGATTCTCAGATCAATATCTATCGGATATTAACTTACCCAATGCGAAGCCATCCTTCACCCATTGCACGTTTCCGACTAAATTTGAAATTTCACATTGTAGAAGCGCCTCAGACCCTTCGAGCACTTGAAGATTTTTCGGAAGCGATCGAAAAACTTGTTTGGCTGATACATTCTTCAAAGCTGCACACGAAGCAATAAAAGAAAAGAAAAAATTTAAATTAGTATTAATTAAATACAATTACAGAAAAAAAGTGATGATGAAGCTGATGATCTCTTATCGTGCCTCAATCATTATGAGGAATAAGAAATAAGAAAATGCCGTCAAGAGAGTTCATCGTGTGTCATTTTTAACACGACATGAGAGGGGCAAACCAACTATCTCAGTGACTTGCTAACTGAATTATTGAGAAGAATATGCAATAATATGTGCGGGCGGAAGATGATGAACATGCTGTACATTATTTTATTATGACTTTCTTAATTTTATATTACATATTGTTGCTGTAATTTGGGAAATTTCTTATTAAAGCCACTAATTAAAATGTCAACAAAATGCGTTCATTTTAATTTTAATTGATTTTTCAGTGACGAGAAACAAAAATTTGGAATGACTAAAAAAAGAGAAAGAATAAGATGTGTGGCTGGTGTGAGTGAACTTTAACATTCATCTTAAAGCGACTCTCAGCATGGGACACGCTAAGCCGTAAAACTCATAAATAACATAACAACAGCATACAGTGAAGAAATAAAAAGACTGTATGTGAGAGATGGATGTCGAAGGAACGATGAAGGAACAAGAATTTTATTCTAACACATGTTTTTGCTCCACTTCTGTCGATACACATTCTTTTTTCTTATTTCTTTTTTATAAAAAGTAATAATAATACATAAAAAATATATATTTTCGAGTACGCATACTCTGTATCATTATCATGATTTTTTCAACGTTATTTTTTGAGGATGGTCTTCAAAAGAATTCATTTTAAAAACACATTATGATGTCTCAACAGCGACATTCTTAACAATTTTTCTTATATTCGAGAACAATTTATATTTCTAATGATTTTTTTACTCTCTTTTTTTTTAAAAAAAAAGCTACCTATTCAAATAGAAAGCATTCATCTATTGTTTTCGATGGTAATCTTCTCAAGATTTATGGTTTCCTCTTTCATGAGACTGACCCCTTTATGACTTTATTAATTGCGCTCACTACTTTTAGTTTCAAATTCTGTTTTATTTCTTGTCAACCAAACACAGTAGCATTTAAATAGACCAATGGTATTCAAAATAGGTACGATTGTACGTGTGAAAAATGTAAATAGATCATAACTCCCTTTCATTGCTCATCAATTTCTCTCAGTTTGTAGGTTATTTTTTAAAAAGCAAGATCGTAAAGAAGGGGGTCAAAAGTTATAAAAAACTCAAGTAATCTATTCGGAAGTGAGGTATAGCAGCAATTTGGATGAATCTTCAAATATAAACTCTGACAAATTGCGCCCCCCCCCCCCCCATATCATCAAAACTTAACCTCAAGTTCAAAAATTGCCAACCATTAATAAACGACCATGAACACAATAAAGTTTTAATCACTACCAAGAATCGCCAAAAAATTAGCAACGCAGCTCTGCAGAAAAGCAAGAACAGGCAAATTATTGGTCGATGGAAACCGAAATACTAAGAAAGACGATATTTGTTCTCAATTTAAATATTCATGTGGACGTATGTATAAAAAAAATCGTGGCATTGTCATTTTACTTGAAACAAAAAAAAATTATTTTAGGGAATAAAAAAAACGGCAACAATCCAAAACATGTGTCAACTATAAAAGAAAGATTATTAAATTTTTTATTTTCTCTGGCTTTTCGAAAAGGTCAGAAAAGGCCGTTGACAGACGCGAAAGTTAATTATTTTTCGTTCATCTCGCGTTCTGGCTTTTCATCTGGAACTGTATCCGTTGGTATTAATTGTGACCAGATAGCAAAAATCTAGAATTTCATCGCAATTTGTAAATGTGTCTTATTTCACAGCAAGCAATTGATATTGTTCTAAGTTAATAGACACAAATGTTTGATGCTTCTGTCTCAAGTTGGAGAAATGTCCTTCATTTTTTTATGTCTTGGTGCCTTTTTTTTTCTTTCCTTTTTAAGAAATGCCCCAATGTACAAAAAGAGAGATGGATATCTCGATTTAACCCCTCATCAGTCATTCGGACTGGCTTTTTTTTTCTTTCCTTTTTTGTATGCTGGTTTTTATGAACTCATGATGCGATAACATACAGTTCAAACTTATTTTCTTGTACCAACTTTTAGTGTCCGAAATGGTAAATGTAAATTTATTTATATTTCATCAAGTACTATCTACATAAATGTCCTCACATCATTCCTTATATTCATCTATCTATCTGACACACAAATGCTGTAAATGTGATCCTTGATTACATTGTTGCATTTTTAAACGTTCATCTCTTCTCATTTCATTATCTTTCTTCCTTTTTCTTTTATTTCTCCTATGTAGCATTGCTCAATTGTCCCCAAACGTTTTTATTTCTCCTTCTCCCCCCCAATGATTTATTATTCGAATTAAAGAACCAACACTTATATAAACATGTATTGAAGAAGAAAGTCTCTCTCTGTCTCTCTACGATTGCCACGACAAAGAAAGTGAGAAGAGAAAGGAAAAAGGAACAAATTTATGTGCGTTAATGGCATTAAAATTAATTTAGCTTTAATAAGGACGTGATAAATAAAATAAATGTAAAGAATAAACACCCCCAACAAAAATAAGGCAGAAAGCAATAGCATATAAAAGAATGAAGAAGGCACGAGAGAGTGAAATGGGACTTTTTGTCTTCTTCCTTATTCTTTTTTCCTTTAAAAATTTTCCAGTTCTTTATTTTTTTTTCCTCCATTCAGTCAGTGAAAAGAAAAGTTTCTCGGTGATGTAAAAATAAAGGCTTCTTCAGTGTCTACAATTTTACTTTGACGCACATTCAATGTAAGCGAGATGAAATAACATTTTCAGAGGCTAACGAAGAAAAGGAATCATTCTTTTATGACGTCTTTCAAAGAATCCCTCCCACTTGCTACAAAATTCTCAATTTTAAAGTCACAGACTTCAATTAATTTTAGACGCCATCGATTAATGAACCCTTAAAGAAAAGGGGATTCTTATGAATGTAGACCTAAAGTTTTCTGATGATGGCATGCCATAACATAATATGATGCTTTATTTATATGTATATATACGCAGAAATTTACTTTATCCTTGACTCGTTTCTAAATGTTAATGAGTTTCTATCGCTGCTGTTTAAGGTTTAACTTGAGTAAATTTCCACTGATGACATTTCCCAAAAGGATTCCACCATCTCTTTCCGTCCGTGCTTTAACGTTGGAATAAAAGGTGATGCGATAAAGTTTACTGTTGTGTAATTGTCGTTTCCAGTTGAAATAAGCCAATACCATAGTCCATATTTATTTCTGTTTAACGTTTACTGATGCAATACTTAGTCACTCCTGCAGATAATTTGGGTCCTTCGAGGATGTTTCAATGACATTTCAAAATTTTATGAGAATAAACCCAAATGTTCTTAGTGTCCAAGCATTGTAAGGAAGGAAGGAAGAAAATGTATATACCGAAACTTCTGTTCAATTTCAGAAAAATCACTTCCTCTAACCTTAATGTAATATAATATAAGACGCAAGATGGAAAATCTTTAATATTAAGTTTTAATTCCCTGCAAATCACGTAGGATTGGAAAACATTCTTAAATCACTTATATCCATGGGAGCTATAGGATATTCAATTGTTCTTTTCAGCAATACGGATAGAAATTAAACTTTTTTTTACTGGTGTGCAGATATTTTTAATTTTTTCTATGCTTAGAGCAAGGTAAATATCTTTTCGTTATATCCACAGTGCTTGCTGTACTGTACAACTAATTTAATAATGAACTTTCTATTTGTCTTTCTAATTTTTGCAAGTTAAAGTTCCTTTTTTGCAGCTTCAAAATGTGAAAAATGTTCTCGTACCTTACTTTCAAAAGCAGCCGCCTTGCTCACTTAATTCACGACAGGTGAAAATTAAATTGGCATATTTATTTCATTTTAGCAGCACTCGCACTTTGGTTCCTTCCAAATAAAATTCAAATGGATGTTCTTTGGAGGCATCATTCTCGGCACGATTTGCAATTACTTGCAATTTTTAATGTGCAAGCGTCAATGATAATTTCGTACACATGTCACTTAATTGGATCTTTACATACATGCAGCAAGAAGAACCAATTGTGTAATCTGCTTGTTTGAAAAATTTAAGGAGTCATCCTGAGTTTTATTTATTGAGAACCTGTTTCATTTACACGTGCCTAATACGAGCAAAGCACAGCCAGTGCCTTAGACAGGCAGGTAGGAGCGCAACAAATTTACACCTTTTATCATTTCTCTCTTTCTTTCCTTTCTTTGTCTTCTCACTTTTTAGTGCCTCAAACATATCTAGTTGGATGACTCTCAGAATAAAATATAAAAAAATTAAAGTAAATGAAAATAAAGTGAGGAGATTCACATCATAATAAATTTGTACTGCAGAATAGGAGAGTGGCAGGCAGGCAGAATAATAGAAAATAAAGAATAATCAAAATTTTCCCATACCATTCTGTGTGTGTGTGTCGTCAGATGATGATAATGATGGCATCATCGTGATCATTCGGGGTGCTAAGTATATACGATTTTTTAATATGAGGGCTAAAGCCTTCCAAAATACGTATTCGAATGCAAAATTTTGCAGAACAAAAGAAATTTAAAATCCCAAAAAAATATATTTCTCGTAATAAAAACACAAGCTCACAATAGAAAAACTCAAAATTGTTGAATAATTTTCTCCGTTGGCAGTTTTCATGAAAATTTATGCTCCATATATGTTTGCATATGTGTGACTGTTGTGCTGCTGCTTTATATACTCATAGTTTTCCATCTTATATACTAAATGATTTCAGCACAAAACGTAATGTGAACTGCAAAATCATCATATTTATATATGTGCCGTTTTCGTACTTTTTTGGAACAGTGGGTGAGAGAGAAGGAACGTGAGTGAAGAACTAAAATTCTCATAAGAACTTTTTTTGGTTCACATTAGATTTATATGTGGATAACTACTATTTAACAGCATTTAATTAAATACGCTTGTCAGCATTTTGTTTATTTGTCTGACTGTTCATCTGATAAACTATAAAGCTTTACGTCATGACAATGTCCATGATTCTTCAAGGTTTTTGTCGTTATATTTTGAAACGGTTCTTTGAATTTTCTGAATCGGTTACATTGTAATATATTTCAAATATTTTTTTACCGTTATTTTTTTAAATTTAATTTCCTCGTTAAATAATACATTAGCATAAAATGCGCATTCATCTCTCTCAAATAATCTATTCTATACTAGTATTTTTGTGCTTCATCGTTCATCCATATAAACTTTTGTGCATGAAAAAGAAAACCTACACAATTCGTAAAAAAGAATAAATTCACGAAAAAATAAAAGAATAATACATGTAGACATATGTATAATAACTTCTGAACTACAAAAAAAGATGAGTACAAGACTACAACAATTCTTAAATTCGTATTGATGATGAAAGAGAGAAGCACATGTTCTTTCAAATGGAGGGAATTATTAAAGTTAATTGAAAGCATTTCATTCCACCTGTGCATCAGGTGCAACTGATGAATGTAGCGTGTGTATTATATACAAACAACAAGTCAAGAACTATAGACTTTACAGACAAAAGCAAGCCTAAAAACTTGTATGAAATTCAAAACGCTCCCCACTTATTTTATGTTCTTTTCACAAATTTTATTTGCTGCATTTTAGAGCGTCAAAAAGTCATAAAGAAGAGACTATACACATCGACTCACATAACTCAAAAGACAATAGATACGGACGCTTGCATATGATGCTAGAAGTTCAAGAAAGATAAAAATAAAATAAAAATGGGAATGACAATCGATATCAACGAGAAAGATATACGATCTTCGTGTTTTTTTATGAAATGTGCGTCTTAAATTCTATCCAGATGACATTTTCATCACTCAATTGTAATAAATATGATTGTTTTGTTTTCATAACGCAAGTGGTTATATAGTATATACCAAAAAGTCTTTGATCCTCTCAAGTCATTATAATTTTTGACATTCCGTAACGATTATGAGTCATATTCATCATCAGCTTTAACATTTTCGTTATCTTTGTATTTATGGAAACTTTAATGTCAACGAGATTCACTTACCTATTGTTGCTAATATTACTAAGAAATACCACCAATGCGGTTTGGCTTTCATCTTTGCATGAAGTCGAGTTATCTGTGAATATTTAAAGAAACAGAAATTAGAACAAAATTAATTGATTTCATGTTTATCTATAGCAGTTGATTTGTTGTGGATGAAAAGGATCGGAAAAGAATGGTATACAGCTTGTGTATTGAGGATAAAACTAACAAAAAGGCAGCACTTCCCATCCCCACATATGATTCTATCGCGAGAACAATCAAAATAAACGGCTTGTCCGTAAAATAAACCAATTTGCAGCAAAAATTGATTGAAAATTGGCACTTTTTTGGCTTTTTGGTAAAATTAGGCTTCAGTAGCAGTTCCCATTCATCTCATCTCTCACGGTTTTACTTTACATGGATGAATATAAACCGCGTCGTACATCCATACACAAGCTTGATTGATTTTCCTGTATTTTTATGTATCAAAGCTACACACACGGGCTTATGTTATATGGATCAGGTTGAAATGTACATTAATATTATACATATTTAAATTGTGAGAAGATTTATTGAGATACGATAATATTCATCCATTCTAGTTGGACTAATTAAGACCCATCAAATACAGAAAATGAGCATCTCAATTTATACAGTTAGCATATTGTTAAAGTTTAAAATAAACTAATAGCATTCCATGTTGTGTAAAACATAAAATTCAATCTAAATTATGGATATAAACGTTTAGATATTCAGGCAGATGAGAAAAATCGATGAAATTAAAATTAATTTAAATGCTCGATGCAACTTTTTTTCTTTAAATGTCAAAATTATAAGTTTAAATGCCGTATTTTAGTCTCAACTTTATGTCAATCGCACAATTAAGGCCCTTAGGCAACTTTTAATTATACTTTACCTATTGTAATTGTACTAATATCTCATAATAATTTTTTTTCTTCCAAAAATAACGAACTCACACTTTTTCTAAGAAATTACAATTTGAATTGTTGAAAACATTCAAATCGCCATTTTGAAAAATGAAAACTGTTGTTATGTTTTTAAAATTGTATGGTTTTGAAACATTTGAATTTTTTCCGTTGATATGTAATTTTATTATTAACACGAAATTTCAAGCTATTGCGTTCGCATTAATCTCATCTGATATCATAGAGAGCAAAAACAATGAAAATTTATTCAAAGGAATCCTAATGAGAAGAATAATCTACCTGATTATGTAAGAATAAAGTAATGCGCAAAAAATGTTTTGATAGAAGCAAAAAAAAGTATTTATGAATACCTTAAATGAAGAATTAAAGCAGAGAAAATGAAATTTTACTTTCATTACCATCGCGATATATTCATAGTTGAACGAGTCTGCGAAATATTATTATCTGATTTCAAATGTGTGAGAATTTTGTAGAACTTTATATTTTTGCATGAACAGAATGTGTATCAAGACTTGAAGAATAAAAATTACCCATTTATTCAATTTTTTTGTGAATTTTTTCGATTCGAGTTTAATTATATTTCGTCTTCGTCTTTTTCATCATAAATTCATTCTCTAGCGACGTTTTTTGTGCATTTTTGGGGGAAATAAGCAGATTTGATATACGATTTATTTGTCTAGATTGAATGCTGGCTGAATAAGGCACAAAATAGAAGGTACAATTAGAGGATGCATTGACATTTGTAACGAACTTGTACAATTTGAGTCTGTCAAAACTTGTCGTTTCTATAAAAATTTGAATTTTCAAAAACCGTTAAGCATTTAAATCTCGAAAAATCAGTTAATAATATTTTTAATTTCAAAAATTCTATGTTCTCAATGAATGATGCTTAAAATGCGCTCAAGTCGCTCGAATCTCCAGCATAAAAGCATTTCTGAATTGTTTGATTTAATCTCTCTATCAATTCTTATTTTTGTTTCCTATGCCCTGCTCCGTTCCTTATTTTTCATCATCATCGTCTCTCTCTCTCTTTGCCTCAAGTACGGGTTTTTGTATTGCTCAGGCTACGCGCACATAATTATGCTAATGCTTTGGGAAAAATACATTTCATTATCGCCCGTCTCTTCTTGTGTTTTTAATTTCTATTCTATTTCATCGCATTTTCGTTCATTCCTTCATAATTTTTCACAAAAGAAGAGAGAACATTAAAAATACACAGAGCTGGGCTGCTGGCTCTGCGCTAGCCTTGAAAAAAAAATACGTATGTCTTGCATGTACAGCACATGAGAACATGGAGAAAAGAAGGAACGAGGAAAAAAAATATGTCTCACATCTTAATGTTGTGCAAATGCACTTTGAATTTCAAATTCTTGTTTTCATGCACGGGTAATAAATCGAGCATAAAGACATGCAATGAAAGAATATAAAAAAATTCGGCTCTGATGTTCGTTCTTCATTCTTTTTATTCCTTTCTTCATTGCTGTTGATTCTTTTTGTGGCTTTTTTTATATCATCCCGTTTATTTTCTCTTGAAAAATTCTCACTGTGTATGTATAGTTGCTGATGTGTTTGTGGTAGACGTTAGTTCAATTGCTATAAACAAATGAAGACCCCATGAATAAACCCCGTCCACTATTATTCCAGTCATGGTCATTCTCATTGTGTGTGAGCTTCTTGAATTATGTTTTCAACATTGTAAATAATGTGCGCAACCAACGATGCGTTACGATTAATTAGGCTGAAATTTAATGGCACATTAGCGAGGCAGTGTATAATTCTATTCTCAAATCAAGCCTTAATCATGAAAGTAAACGAAGAATAATTTTTTGACGCCTTTTCGAATGGAAAAATGTAAAGCAAGTTATATTCCAGACAGCAAGCTTCTTAGAAATAACAAACAATTTGTTTTAAATTTTGGGAATGAAGAACAATAATCCTTAAATAAATGTTGTGTGATTCAGTGGATGAATAATGGAGAGGCGGTGAGTAGAAAAGGTTGTCGAATTTTTTGTGATTTTTTTAACGCATGTTTGCATGACATTGCTTAAAATAAAGCGCTAAACACGTGAGATTTGAATTTTGAAACGTTTCAATAGCTTAAATATTGACAAAAGCCATACAACAGTATATTTTTTGAAATTTCGAAGATTTCAAATTCTAGACTATATAAAGCCATTAAATTGTAAAAAATATTTGTAACATCTTTGCTCACTCTTGTTTAATGCTTTACAATCATTTAATTTACTCAACTCTAAGTATTTGAGCCAAACTTTGTAAGCAAAAACTCCAAGTGGACAAAAAAAATCAAGCATAATTTTTAAATTTTTCATAACCACTTCTCAATGCCCTACAATTGACTTTTGATGAATTTCTTATAATATTTTGCTACGCACTTAATTACACACGTAATGATGCAAGATATTTCAGCTTAATTCCATTTATAGCATGCCCAATAGAAGAATAGCAAAATATTTTATTAGAATTGAAAAAAAAATATGCTCTCGAGTTTGTTAAAAAGACAAAAAAAAAACAAACAAAATGAAATTTCTACAACGTTGTTATGTCCATTTATAGATCAACGGATGGAAAGTAAAATCCAATCAATAAAATTGGTCTTTAATAAAATATGCTAAAAAATTAGAAGACACTTTTTGGATGCACATAAAAGGAGATAATCTAATAGAGGTTGAAAAAATTAAAAGAAACTGTCAGACAGCACAGCACACACGATAGATATAGATAAAGAGTACGACAGAAACGAAATCTCTTTCAAGGAACTTAAAACCCACACACAACTAATTTTATCCAAAAATGAAGAGTTGAATGACTAAGTTATTGAAACTTTATACACCTTGAGACTCCCTACGACTATAAAATTAGTAGTTCGATTGTTGACCAACTTCCCGGACTTGAATGACACTTAACTGAAAGTTGAAAAGTTGAGACATATGTGCTGTCTAATATTTTATTAGCTTTTTGATTACATTTGCATTAGCTATACAGCGATAATGATATAAATAGATACATGGACCAAAAATTGATTCAATTTATGTTATCAACCTTAATTGATTCTTCGACTTTTGCTTCCTAGTATATTAAAATTATTAGCTCCAAAAAAAGGCACTCACACAGACACCAAAGTCTGAAATTACAATTGTGTATAATTGATGCAAATTATATATTTAAAACATCTCTTTTAGCATGACTTGAAAGACTTGAAGCTGAAAACGAGTTCGGAGCAATTTTCTTACATCGATCGATGTTTTGTGTCGTTGGCAAAGTGACCTGGAAATGAACGATGAAGACAATGAAATTTTAAGGGACTTCATTCGCAGTTCCCATATTAATTTTCTTATGGAAATGAATACAAACATTTGGAACGGTGATAAATGATGTCCATCACGAAGTTTGTTTTTTTTATTTTTGGGTTTTGTCAGAAAGGCATTATTCAGTAAATTCAGCAATTTTTAGCAAACTTAGCAAGTTCAGTTAACTCAGCACTGTTCAGCAAGTTCAGCTAATTCATTTGTAATGAGTAACACTTAATATGTGATCAACCCCATAGTGAGCAAGAAGAAATGACTTGTTCCTCAATATAATTAAAATTATTACAAAAAAATATACACATGGTAAATAAAAAACATTGCCGGTCTACAAGATAATGTGTATATTCCTTCCATCTCTTTATAATGAGAGAAAAAAAGTGAAAAGGAAGAGAAAGAAATAAAAAACAGAATGAACTGAATGGGAAAATGTTAACTCAAGTGTGGAGTTCACAATTTGTATAAGCCTCTGCTGTGAATATCGACACCGTCTTAACCTATTCGCCATCATTACTTGTGTGTATGTTTATTTACTTTTATTTTTTTTTCACTCATTCGTTTGCTTCATTTCATTCATAATTTCAAGTGGATATTTTTTTCCACCGCGCGCGTTTCAATTCTTGCTTTTCTGATTCCTTTCTGTTTATATACTTTGCTGTATCAAAAGCGAAAAAACTTGAATTCAAAGTAATAAAAAAGATTTTTTTGCAAGCACAGAAAAAAAACTTGTTTCCTTCCCAGTTACTGCCGTCAATTATTGTCGTACAACATAACTATTCGTAAGTCCCCGTCATTAATAATGAGTGAGTGAGTAAAATGGGAACAAAGCCTTTCTTTCTCTGTCCCACTATGAGTTTCCTTTTGGTGTTATGTGATATTAAATTTCCTGTTGACTTTTTAGAAAGAAAAGAAGAACAATGTCTTTTGGGAAGGAGTGAAATCAATCTTTTTATTGCTCATTCAGTGGACTTTATCGACGACAAAATGTAGGTACATTGAAACCTGATTTTAAACTCGATTTTTTGTAAAATAGAATGACAGACTGCTTGTCTGTCTATTAATAGTCGTAAAATTCTTCTAGATTAGAGTTTGTCAACGTAGTTTTGTGCTCAAAATGACGTTGCCATCTTTTTTATGAGATATGCAAAATATAGTTGTGATCAGAAGTTTCTACATCTAGAATTAGCGAAATTACTTTTCGAAGTGGCAATACGTAAAGTTTACGTTACGTAATGTTTAACGTAATTTTTTCAGAATTCTTCAAAGATTTTTTTAACTGTTTTTCAGAATTTTTAATCTCATGCGCTTTATTCAGCCACATCCGACCAATTTCAAACTAATTTGATATTCTTGTATCATGTTCCTTTCTTTCTCTTCTCATTTTATATTATTGATATATTTTCATCATCATGTTTGATTGATCAAAAAAGTTATGGCCATAAAAAATTTAAACATTTCATTCTTCTCTTGCATCGATGTCGTGTATCATTTCGAGTCAAAAATCAAGTTTCGTTCTTCTTAGTTTTCGCCAAAATGAAACAATAATAAAAGTAAGTTCTTTGCCTCTATGGGAGTCACATACATACATGTGTATGAACAATTTTTTTCATTATGAAAATAGACATTGGAGTTGTAAAAGGCTTTTATTTTTATTTTTACTTCTAAAAAAACTCTGAACTGTGCGTGTGGGTTGATAGCAGTGGTCTTGAATCGATGTTGAAATTATTATAATGACAACAAGCAGCAGGCTATACACGGCACATATGAATATGTATATAGAGGTACTTGTAAATAGCAGCTTCGAGCATTTGTGACGACGTCGATACATTTCTTGTATCAATGAATGAAGGAATGAATGAAATTAAAAACTAGTTTTTAGATACATATTATGAATTATTGCCTAAGATACAAATATCTCAGAGTTAGGATATGTTTTGCTAAATTGGTCGTAAAAAGATCGAATTATAATAATTTTTTTTTATTTTTAAAGATGAAGAAAACCAAATCTTGTATTTTAATGAATGAAAGAGAATCGCATGAAGGCTTCACTATTTTTTTATTTTATTCACTCCTCCACACCTTTCCAAACGCGCGCAGATAGGCATCGGAAAGTCATAAACATCATTCATCAATAATATTGTTACAAAGTTGAAGTTTCCTATTCAAATTTTTCGCTAGTCTTCACGTGAACACGCTCAGTTTCGCATTAAAATCTGTAGCTTGTGCCTTCATTTTGACTTCCGTTAAATATTCAAATCTTTCAAAACCGTTGAAAGAAATCCAAAATGAAGATTTAAATCTTACAAAGCCGTTAAAATTCTATCTTCACAAAAATGCCAAGAATTTAATAATTTAATAAAGCAAATTAAAATGCAAATTCAATTAAATCATTAAAGAGTTCAATTTTCATCTTGTTAAAGTTAAATTTAATAAAAATTCAAATTCAAATTAAAAATGTCTGTCAATCACTGTCCGAAAATCGCTATAATCATCGTCCATTAGTGGCTTTTACACGTTTCCGAGTCTCAGTCATGATATCATACTGTTGTAATATATGAAACAACACAAAAATATAATGCGAAACACTATAGCAGCTATAGCTATAAAGCAGAAATAAGAAGAAGATATTATTTTTATGAATGAAATTGCCATAAAACGAAGAAATTAATGACCAATGGAGGATGCAAGTAAGAGTGAATGAAATGGCGAATAAATTTGTTGTAAAAAACAATAAGAAGAGTAAAAAGCCAACGCATGAGATGTTGATCATCAATGGACAACAAGATAAGCAACAGAGGCGTAAAATGTCAAGACATTTGTTTGAAATTAATTTATGTCATGTAAAAATCACATATGTACATCAAAAAGTTCCCATAGCTTAGCGCATAGTTCACCCATAAAATAGATTTTTTAACAAAATTGATTAATGCGTATAAGAAGGGATCATAATAATCATAATGCTCATCATACAGTAGCGAGAAAGGCAATTGTTCTTTCACTCTTTATTATTTCCATGTCAATTTAAATTGAATTAAATTGCTAATGTGTCTTTAATTGTCAAAAAAAAAACTCATTATTTCGTTCATTCACTTTACTGGCAACGCATCCAACGAGAAGTGTCGCTCCCATGCGAGTAATATAGAAAAGACAATTACATGATATAATTTTTTAAAGAGGGAAAAGGAGGGGTCACAAGACTGACACAGAAACAAAAAGTTCATAGAACAATGTTATTTTTAAAATTTTCGTCTCTATTCTCATTGTTCTTGCACAGTTCAAGACCTTCCATAATTCATAATTTTGTTAATTGCCGTTTTCTCGCATCAAAAGCAAAATAATGTACAGTGGAATATGTCTCACCGTAACACACTAGAAACAAAAGATGGATTTTAGATGGGGTTCAATCTTGAATGATGGAAAGGTTCTTGAAAAAAAAAATTAAAAATTAAAATTTTGCAGAATTCGATAAAAGTTCAAAATTTACAAAATTCGTTAAAAGTTCAAATTATACAAAACTCGTTAAAAGTTCAAATTTTACAAAATTCGTTAAAAGTTCAAATTTTACAAAACCGTTAAAAATTCAAATTTTACAAAATTCGTTAAAAGTTCAAATTTAACAAAATTCGTTAAAAGTTCAAATTTTACAATACCGGTTAAAAAATTCAAATTTTACAAAACCCATTAGTTTGACTAGATTGCAAAGAAAGCAAAGTGAAATGTAATTTATGAATAAACCCTACTTTAACCTCTATCAAAATTCATTAGCAAGTTTATTGTTTTAAGTCTTTTTCCCCTCACTTTATCCATCTCCAACTCCTCCGTATGTAATTTAATGAATGGGATGCGCAAGTTTTCATACTTATATTATTATCATTTAAAATAATAATGAATTATTTCCCATTTTTTTTACTCCGCTTATGTCTTTTGTACTTTATTTTATAATTTTAAATCTCATAAAGTGTGTGATAATAATTTTTTTTCTTTAAAAAACAAGAATTTGTTCATCAATTTAAACTCATGAATAGAAAGAAAAACATTGCTGAGAGGGATAAAAGAGGAAGATGATGTACATTCTAAGTGGATTGTTCATGCATAGCTCTAAAATCCACTTTGTGTTTCTTCCTTTTATCTACAAGAATAGATGATTATAGTTGGTCCCAGAAGCCATTGTGTAGTATATATTAATGAAACGCACTCATGACATTGCATAGTTGGGGATTTTTGAGTTGCAAAGATTATTTGAATAGGATATGAAGAAGCATTTTGCAATAAGCTATTTCTAACGGTTTTTGAAGATTTGAAACTTGAATATTAAACGGATTTCTCAAATTTGAATTTTGCTATTCAAATGTATAAAAACTAATGTTCAGCTGTCTTCACAGTTTTCAAAAATTTACTTTCAGCCGTCTTCAAAATTTTCAAAAAAATCCCTTTCAGCCGCACTCACAATCAATTTGGAATCATTCCAAAAATTTAACGTCTTTCAAAAATTCAAATTAAATATTCAGACGCCTTTACAATCAAATTTGTTGTCTGAATCAATTGTAACTCAATTAAAAGCCACATAAACGATTGTAGGACAAACATGATCTTAATAGCAATCCATAATGTACAACAGATTAAAGTGACACAATTCTGATAGAAAAAAATTTGCTCTATAAATAAGCATGTCCCTTTAAAGTGTCCTTTACTATTTATTTTCTTGTTATGTTATGTTCTCAAGTTGTTATGTATTATACATAGATGCTATAATAAGAAAATCATTATAAAAAAAAGAAAATATGATTTCTTCCTAGCTTTTTCGGTTCCTTTTCCTCCACCCACACTGCAACTCACCACCATAAAACTGACAAAAAACTTTTTGTGCCATTAATTTGCACACATGAGCAACCATGGCATACACACAATCACATTCATATTTAATTTGGCATTAACTTTGCATGTTACTCTGACAAAAAAGAATAAAAAGAATGAAGACTTTTGCTGTATCTTCCTTTTCTTCTTATATCGCTTTTTTGACTTTTGTCGTCTTAGGATTTTTTTTTTGTCTT